TCATTCAAAATTTTATCTCTTGAAAATTCCAAAAATTTCCAAACCGAGTCCAAGCTAAGATACGCCCACTTAAAGTTTCAGTGGTTAGGGACGCAGACAAACATACACTATAACCACCTGCGTCTCTCACCAAACTTCAAAGCGCTGTATCTCAAAAACCACTGAAGGTATCAAAAAATGACAAACTATAAAAATATAGTTTTTGAAATTTCCTACAGTTTACAATTTACAAAAATTGAGCTAGCTTTCATAGTTCAGGAGATATTAGCGCTAGAAATCATAAAATCTAAAAATTCGGGTACTTCAGCCCCTAGATAAGCTAGAAACCTGATTTTTGTCTTTAAAATAATCGACTTTTTTAAGGAAACCGACTCACCAGAATCCACCAACTCAAACGCGCCCAAATCAATATCGTTTTGAGGTATCCGCTTCTCTTCCTCCACGTACACTGCCATCGGCTCTTCTTCGGATTCCGATGATTGTGGTTCGAAAGAGACGGGACTAAAAGAACTCGGATTTCAAGATTCGAAAAATTTTCAGAATCAGAAAATGCGCTCTATTGCGAAGTTTTATTTTTTATATTTAAAAGTGCAAAAAAAATTGGTGATGGTCATGCAATCTAACATTCTTCGAAACATTCCAAAAATTAAAAATTTCAAAAAAAATCCCAAATTTCAATACCTGGGTATTTTTGTCTCGTGCACTTCCTCTGGAATAATCTCGGGTAGTTCGTAGCTCCGATTGCTCAGATTTGAGCACTGTGTCAGTCGAGAAGGCCTTGGCTGATAGTAGACCTTCGGCGCCGAATGTAGCTGTTCCTTTGATGACGTCGTCGCGATCGATGAGGTGAAGATTCCGGACACTCGTAGTCGGATACAAACATGAGGTATGCATTCTCTGAACATATTAGTGAAGAAAAAAGGATGCAAAAAAGGGGTGCAAAAATTCCGAAAAAAAAATTATTATGGATGCAAAACACTTGCAAAAAATGAAGGGTAAGTTTGTTGCTAGTGGAGGGTAGATTAATGGATGCAAAATTTTTTAAGTTACCAGGATTCTTAGGAATTTCTAAATTGATTGGTGAAAAGATCAAGTTTCTAGCTAGCCTGGGAACCGAGATACGCGCTTTTCAAGTTAGAAGAGACGCAGACAACAAGAGTGCTCTTGTTGTCTGCGTTTCTCAAAAACTTCGACCGCCCATATCTCAACTTCCAGACTAGCTAGAAACTTGGTTTTTTTTGGATTTAAATTATGAAACTTCTAATTTTGTAATGCCCAGATTTCAGATTGCTTGCTGGTTTGGTATTAGAGAAAAAGTATAGTTAATGTTTGAAATTTCAAAGGATCTTATCTCGACTCCTGGACAAATTGCGAAAATGAACTTTTCAGGTATGAAAATAAGCATACTTTTAAAATTCCGGGCCGGGCCGGGTCGGGCCTGAGGAAATTTTCAAGGCTCGGTGTCAAAAATTCTGTATTTTTGAGCCAAATTTTAAGCTCTCAATATAATTTTTTCCATTTTTTTTTCGTATTTCGGATTGTTTGTCTGTCTGATCAAAAAAGATCGAAAAACTCGAAAAAAAATTGTTTGGTCGAAAAAAATCACATAAGGGTCCCCGCTTATGTGTTTTTTGAAAATTTCGAAACTAGTGAAATGACGGGCCGGGCCTCCGAAATTCCGGAAAAAGCCCGGCCCGGCCCGGCCCTGCCCGTTACAAGTATGAAAATAAGGAAGACTTGCGATTCATTTATTTAAAAATTAAAACTGTAGGACGCCAGAGCGCCGAGATATATGTAGGCGTTTGTAGTTAGGAGAGACGCAGACATCAAGAGTGTCTCTTTGTCTGCGTCTCTCAAAATCTTCAAGTGCTCATATCTCAGCTTCCAGACTAGCTAGTAAACTGAAAACTAGACAGAAGTGTTCAGAACTTCGGTTAGAACATTTTCAAATAAACAGTTTGAGCAAAAAAATCTGAATTTTCTGTCTTCTCACCCAGAAAATTGAACTTAAAATATAACTATCTTTAATTTTGGTTGTCACAGATTCCCAAGAAATTTCTAAGTCAATTAGTGGAAAAATGAAGTCTCCGAACCAAGATACATGCGTTTGAATATTTGGAAGAGACGCAGACGGTTAGAGTGCTTCGTCGTCTGCGTGCCTAGCCTCCAAAACTTCAAACACTCATATCTCTGCTCCCAGGAATGCTATAGCAGTGACTTTCCTTCCAAAACACTCTATTCTGGACCGTTTCTCTTATTTTCTATAGATCCTCACCTCTCATCTTCCACCTCTTCCTCTTCCTCAAACTCCTCTTCCTCCTCCGCCTCTTCAATGTCTTCTGGTGGATACTCGAACTGGCGGGATGCCTCTTCAAGCATCTGAATGTACGAATCCCAGTCCTGCATGCAGGCGAGACCGATTGGCTGGAAGTATTTTGATGAAAAATGGGTCTGAGAATATAGCTTTATTTCGGTCGGTCGAAAATCGATGACCGCTGACCGACAGCCGACCTAGCTGAGCGGTTGCATTTTCAAGCGTATAGAGGAAAGATAGCGAAGCGAAATCATTCTAGGAAAGCATAGAATAGGACAAAAGCATGACATGGATTTTCAGCCAAACCGATTTTTAGATTCTCAGCACTTACCGACCGTGGACTAATTAAAACCACCGAATCAGGGCTGGATTCACATGACAAATCCGGTAGAGTTGTTTCGGAAGTCTGCGTTGGCGATTCCAGCGATCGTTTTGTAGAATTTCTAACCAATTTGAACAATTTTGGAAGATCCTCCTTGATTAGAAGCTCCGGTCGAAACTTTCTCGGACTCACATTGAGCCAATCAAACGATGTCAGAGGATTCTGTTGCTTAGCAACCCGTTCTTTATGTTTTCTCTTCAAAAGGGGCTCTGGTGACGTCGCAATCTTATTCTCATCAATCACTGATAAGCGTTTAGGTGATAACAAAAGTTTGGGCACATGAGGAGCCTGTGCAACCATTGGGGGCGGTCGCATTGCGCACTCATCTAGCCCGTCACCATCATGACGATTCGATGCCAATTGAGATTCTCGGAAAGCACCAAACACAAGATTGTTACATGCATCCATGTCGAAAGCGTCACAGATAGCGGCCAGGTTGGAAAGCATAAATGGTTCTGGTAAGCGAAACGAAAGCGGAGCAGCGGAGAAGATGGGCTCCGCTGCGTATGCATGCTTTGGACGGGACGACGACGTTCGGGCGGAGAGGGGTCGTTGACTTACCGAATTTGATGGTGGTGGAGAGGGAAGATCGATTGGAGGGCAAGAGTTACTTCGGCGAGCTGATTTCGCGTCTTTTGCTGGAAAAAATATTTTTTGATTCTAGGAAGTCGAGAGGTTCTAAGGATTCTTAGGGTTCTTGAAATTTTCAGATTTTGAGATTCTTGGGATTTTTAGAGAGGATCCGTGAGATCCTTTGGGTTCTTGGTTTTCTGACATCCCAAGTTTTCCAGATTCTGAGATTCTGAGATTCTGAGATTCTGAGATTCTGAGATTCTGAGATTCTGAGATTCTGAGATTCTGAGATTCTGAGATTCTGAGATTCTGAGATTCTGAGATTCTGAGATTCTGAGATTCTGAGATTCTGAGATTCTGAGATTCTGAGATTCTGAGATTCTGAGATTCTGAGATTCTGAGATTCTGAGATTCTGAGATTCTGAGATTTTGAGATTCTGAGATTCTGAGATTCTGAGATTCTGAGATTCTGAGATTCTGAGATTCTGGGATTCTGAGATTCTGAGATTCTGAGATTCTGAGATTCTGAGATTCTGAGATTCTGAGATTCTGAGATTCTGAGATTCTGAGATTCTGAGATTCTGAGATTCTGAGATTCTGAGATTCTGAGATTCTGAGATTCTGAGATTCTGAGATTCTGAGATTCTGAGATTCTGAGATTCTGAGATTCTGAGATTCTGAGATTCTGAGATTCTGAGATTCTGAGATTCTGAGATTCTGAGATTCTGAGATTCTGAGATTCTGAAAACCTGAAGTTTTGAGATTCTGAGATTCTGAGATTCTGAGATTCTGAGATTCTGAGATTCTGAGATTCTGAGATTCTGAGATTCTGAGATTCTGAGATTCTGAGATTCTGAGATTCTGAAAACCTGAAGTTTTGAGATTCTGAGATACTGGAAAAAAAGATTCTGAGATACTTTAAAAAAACCCAAAAACAGAAAATTTCGGAAATCTTTGAATTTCTCGGGATTTCCTTTTTTGGATTTCAAAAACTTTTGCTGAAAATCTCAAATTCTTGAGCAGCTTTTGAATTTTAAAAATGTTGGATTTTCATGATTTTTTTTTCAATTTTTTCAGTTTTGAACTTCTCAGATTTCTGGGTTCCTTAGAATTCAGAAAATCGAAAAACTGAAAGTACAAGAATTCTGAAAATCCCTTAATTATAGAAAATCAACATTAGACAGTACTAAAATTTCGAAACTTCTTAAAATTAAAATTTTTAAGATTCTGTCTAAGAATTCCAAGAATTCTGAAACTTTGAAATTTGAAAATTCGAGAAGTCTGATATTCTAAGTTTCAAAAATCAAAAATTCTAAAATTCTATCTGTTTATTTAAAAATCAAACCTTTCATTATAAAAACAAATTTTAAAAAATTTTCCGCCACAAATTTCCGCCAAAAACTCACCCAAGCAATCGTAATCAAATGATATGGATGAAGCTACAGAAGGTGAGTATAAGTGACGGTGTAAAAATGATATCACTGATGGTGTCGGCGAATGATAGTTATCCCAGTAGGCCTGAAAAAGTGTTCAATGGAGCGCACTTTCTCATAAATTTCTTACTTGTCTGATATGTACAGAAGGCTCTGTCGATAATGAGCAATGTTCGGATAGTGACGGACCCGACTCGTCCCAGCTGGCACCTCGGTTTCGTTGGAAGCGGCAGTAACTTCTAAAAATCGTTTTCGTGAAAAATTAATTTATACAGATTTCCCAGAAATTTCTCAGCCGAATGGTGAAAAAATCGAGTTTCTAGCTAGTCTGAAAGCTGAGATATAAGCGTTTGAAGTTTTGAAGAGACGCAGACAACGAGAGCACTCTCGTCGTCTGCGTCTCTCCTAACTTCAAACGACTATATACCGGCTCCCATAAGGCTTAGAAGCTTCAATTTTTCACCGATCGGCTCAGAAAATCTTGAATTTTATAATTTTTGTTATAAAAAAGTTTTTGAAGATTTGAAATTTCAGGCTGAGCTCCGAGATCCGATTTGAAGAGCTCTTCTTCAAGGTCAATTATTTTGGTTCCCATAGGAGATATTAAAAATCTGTAAACTACAAAAATGTGGATGATAATGTGACCAACATTTTATTAGTTAATAAATTTTTGATATCTCTTATAGGAATTTAGATAATTGAGCTTGAGCTACAGAGACACCCAAAACACTCACGTGGATCTTGCCGACGAATGACTCCAAACACTCGGCTGGAAACTTCGAACCGAGTGAATCGTCGGCGAGAAGAGGTCTTCCTCGTCGTACGTGTCATAGAATCGAAGTTGGAATGCGGATAGGGAATCGTCGATTCTGAAAAAAATTGATTATTTGAAAGTTTTGAAAATCTTGAAAAAGCTGAAAATAGTCAAATTTAGAGTCTTACAAGAGGGGTCCAGAATTTTTCGATTTGTCTGAAAATTTCAGAATATACCAAACAAAAATAGAGCTTCATTTTTGTAGTTGACAATTTTTTTGTAGTTCTTTTGGTTTTTGAGATGTGTGCCTTTAAAGTTATCATATCCCCATCACCCCCTTTATCATCGAACGAAGCGGGTAGGGGGAGGTTATACTTCTTAAAGGCGCATATCTCGAAAATGAAAAGAGCTAGAAAAAAGTGGTCAACTACAAATTTAAAGCTCTATTTTCGTTTAGTATGCCTGGAAGTTTTCAGAAATCCTCACCTCATCAAACTATTATCAAACGCCTTTGACTCTATCGACGGCGGTTCATCCTCTATCCTCTGTTGCAGTTGCTGTTCTTGTTCTCGCTCGAACTTCTCCACTGCGTGCACATACTTCCTCAGAATCTCTTCTCCTTGCCCCATTGCCAACCTCCTTTCCAGCATTCTCTTCTTTTTCAGATATTGCAGTAGATCGGTACCTTGGAACTGGAATCAAAGGGTTTCAAGGTTTATTGTCAATAGAGCACATTTTCATACCTTCCTTCCAAAGTAATGGATCTTTTGGATGTATTGAATACCAGCCAAATCAATACACATTGTGGTGACAGAGAGGCCAACGCCGAGATAGATGAGCATGATGGCGATGTAGCTGAAAATGAGCTTTTGGAATAGTTTTTGGAATAGCTCAATGCTCTGAAGCACTTTGAGCTCTATTATCTCAACTTCCGTGATTTATGGCCAAAAATTCCAAATTGTTGTGAAGTTAGGTTTCAATATATCTACATTTTTGAAAAGCTCTTGTTTTCAGAAACCGAACCCAGTTTTCAAATGTCAAATATCCCCATTTTGAAGTGAGTTAAAATCATTTGAAGTTGGTGGCCTAGTTTTCCAATATCCGGGAAAACTGGGTCACAAAATGGAAAAATGTTTTGTTGCTGATGAGGAACAAATCTTCAGAATTTCGATTCAAATTTTAGATTTCAAAAATATCAATTTCAAACCAAATTATAACCTTTTAAAGTTGGTGGCCTAGAAACCCAAAACTAGGCCACCAACTTCGAATGGCTGTCGCTTCAAAACGAGGATTTTTCAATTCTGAAAATTGGTCCAAAGTGCTCAAAACAATGAATTTCCAAAAGTATACAGTATGGCCTAACTTTTGTCTGCAATTTGGATTCCTAGGCCATCAACTTTGAATAGATATTAAAAAACTCACTCATGATTTTCCGGAACAATATCTCCAAATCCTATCGTAGTCAGTGAGATGAATGCTGAAATTTCTCCTTGTAATTCTCAAACTTGTTCAAAAACGCCTTCCTTACAATAATAAAACGCATCCATATACGACCAATCTTCAAGGATCGAGAACAGTATCCCTCCGAAAGCAATGTAAAGCTGAAAAATTGAAGATTCTTGCCTTTCTTTTGTCCCCCAAAAACCCCAAAAACTTGGGACCAAATTTCTCACCAAAATAATCGTGAAAACCATGAGCACTGGCACTTCCGACTTGTCAATCTCGTCCATTTCCATGTCGAGAATTGACGATTCTTGATTCTTGCTGGCGCTCTCCAAATCGTCGTTTATGCTATCCTCGAGGCCGCGAAATCGACGCCATGCCGTTTCCATTCTAGCGGATCCTTTTCGCATGTGCTTGTAGAGCCATATCGTGCACTCGGACAGAAATTTTCCGAGATCTGAAAGTTGGGGTATTCTTCAGGAATTTCTAATTCGATTGGTGAAAAAACGAAGTTTCTAGGCCAGCTGAGAGCCGAGATACAGGCGTTTAAAGTTTTGGAGAGACGCAGACAACGAGACACCCTTGTTGTCTGCGCCTCTAACCTCCAAAGTTTTAAATCGCTATATCTCGGGTTCTAGAGAAGCTAGAAAATTTTTCTCTAGGACTGTACTCTCTCGCTGTGTGACTTCACAATCTCATTAGAGCCCATACCGCTTCTCAAAAAACTCACCTCCAATAGTGATGATAGCAATTGGAGCACCAAACAGAGCGAACAGAACACACGCCAGTCTTCCCAGTGGTGTCACCGGAACGATATTACCGTATCCTATTGTCGCCATGGTGGTGGCGGCGAAAAACAGCGCGCTACTCGTCGTCCACATCTTTTCCGACCCTTTTTCGCCGCGATTTTTTCCGTGCCTGAAAAAATAGTTTTTTTTAAATTAGAAACGACCTAGTCAGCTTTCTAGGCGAAGTTGTGAAGAGACGCAGACAGTTTGAGAGCCTCGTTTTCTGCGTCTCTCCCGGATGAGCTAGATGAGCTCAGCTTGGACTCAATTTATCTAGCTTTCCGTAAAAGATACTAAAAAGTGGTCAACTGCCAAAATGTACAAAATTTCATAATAAACATTTTATCAGTTGATCACTTTTTGATACCATTCACAGCAAACGAGATAAACTGGTTCTAAGTCGGTGGATCCTTCTCAGGCTTCCATTCGGTCGGGAAATTTAGCCGACCGAGCTGACCGATCGATCAGCGCGCCGACCGTTTTTGTGCATTTGCGCGTCAACATGCCAGTGAGTGTTTGCCTACGATGCATTGTATTTTACGACAAACCACTCACTAAATGCCTTATTTGTCGTAAAATAGAGTGCTTCGTACGCAAATATAGGTACTTTAATGCGCAAAGGCACGAAATCGGTTGGCTGTCGGTCCGTGGTCGGTCGGCGGTCGGCGATTTTTGACCGACCGAAATGGAAGCCTTAGACCCTTCTATTAAAGCGGTTACGGTTGATACGTTGAATTTGACCCAACTTATCTCGTTTCCTATAAGAGATATCAAATAGTTCAAACCATACCTATGCCTCCTCTTCCTCTCATTATCCCCATCATCCTCTTCACTGCCCACGCGATACTCATATCCTAGATTTCGAACATCCGAGTACCTGAAAACCGAAAATTTCTAGGCTCTTAGAACGGGAGAAAACTACTCACCTAACATATTGCTCTTTAAACGCCTTGTACAATTTCTCACTGTATAACATCAGCTCTTTCTCGATGTCTTGCTTCCATTCTTTTTCATCTGTAAACATAGCAAATGCGCTCCACTGAGATACCTTCCAAACGAAAAAAAAACATACCATTATGATTGATCTTATGAATCAAATTGTTCCTCATCTCGACGATCGTCTTCCTGCCCGTCTCCTTCAGCCGATCTTCGTTGGGCGACTCGAGTGTGTAGAATATCCACGCGCCGATAGTTGCGTAGATACACACACAGACGACGAGGACGATGTGCGGTAGAGCGAGCTTTGCATACTTTCGGATGTTTTGAAGCGTGGTGGTGTTCTCGTCGTCGTCGGGTCGGGCGCTCTCGAGCAGGCCCTGGAAAATTAGTATTGGGAGGTTTCGGGAGAAGGTCTGTTTGTCTAAAACATTGTTGTCATTGCCTCGATACAGAAGGAAAGGCTGGTGGCCTAGGAAATACTGAAACTCAAGTAAACACTACTTTTCTAGCTTGTCTAGAACCCGAGATAGAGCTCATCAAAGTTTTGAAGAGACGCAGACAGTCAGAGTGTCTCGTTGTCTGCGTCTCTGCAGATGACCTAGAGGTAACGATACGCTAACTTTGACTTGATTTTTCTCGTTTCCTGGGAATGTTATCAAAAAGTGGTCAACTGATAAAATGTTAAGCATAATATCAGAAATATTTTGTCAGTTGACAACTTTTTGGTATCTGTTAAAGTAACCGAAATAACTTTAAATGGAAGGTCGTTGAAACCGACACACCTTCGGTAGAGTAGGAAAAGCTGGAAGAAATCATTGGTGTCCTAAAAATCCAAACTGGTCTAGTCAGGCTTCTGGGAGGCGTTTTCAAGAGACGCAGACAATCAGAGTGTCTCGCTGTCTGCGGCTCCATCTCGACTTTGGTGTGTTAACTTTAACCCAATTTATCTCGGTTACTGTAACAGATACCAAAAAGTGGTCAACTAACAAAATGTTAAACATGTTATCATCAATATTTTGTCAGTTAACCACTTTTTGATATCTGTTACGGCAACCAAGATAAATTGCGTCAAAGTTTAGGTATAAGTTTTTAGCTTCAAGTCGAGCTAACTTCCCACGACTGTATCTTGGTTTATATAAATTCAAAAGTTTCAGAAATTGTAAATCATACTTTGAATATAACCTAGCAGAATCAGAGTAATCAAACCCAATTTTCAGAAAGACCCAGACGGTTCGAGTGTCTCGTTGTCTGTGTCTCTATTCCGGCTCGCTGATGAGCTAGATGAGCTCAACTTTGACCCATTTTATCTCTTTTCCTGGGAAAGATATGGAAAAGTGATCAACTGAGAAAATGTTAAGCATAATATCAGAAACATTTTATCAGTTGGCCACTTTTTGATATTTGTTACATTAACCGAGATACAATCAAAATACTCACCTCTATCTCTTTGAAATCCTCCATTCAAGTCATTTGAGAAAGGGAAAATTCTAGAATGATGGTTCAGGGAGGATAGGAGCGTCTGAAAATTTTCCACTTTTTTTTGGAGAAAGTCGACAAAAAGGGATATAAAAAAGTAGAAGACACATTCGTTTCTTAATTAAAAAGATGGGGGAAAAGAACATATCTAGAAAAAAAGAAACGCGCGCCAAATTCAAAATTCTGACCTCGTCACACGTCTTCTGATGGAGAAGAAGAAGAAGATGTAGTCTCGTTTTGGGGGCTCTCTCTTCGTCAGAAATTCATTGGGACCCTTCTAGAACGAGATAGTGTGGGATTTGAAGAGAGTGGGTTAGAGAGACAGAGAGACACCAAATAAAATGAGTTGGTTTTGGAGAGAAGAGGAGGGACCAGACGGAAAAAAAGAGTGAAACGAAACAGAAAAAAGGGATGAAGAAGATGAAAAAGACACCGTTTTTTTTGGGATGGAATGGGTTTTTTTTTGAAGGGGGAATGGACCATCTGATCAAACATCAGATGGTTGGATTTGGAGGGCATTTTTTGGAAATTTTGAATTCCAAAAAGTTGAGAAAGTTCAGAAATCAGAGAAATCAGATATTTTACAGTATTCACGAATTCGATAGAAAATTCAAAAATATAGGAAATTCAAAAATAATTTAAAAATTAGTAATTTAGATATTTCAAGAAATTTGAAAATTTTCCAAAAAGTTCCAGTAATTCGAAAAAGAATTTTCATATTTTACATTCAAAAAACTTCTGATTTTCCATGAGTTTCTTGAAAATTACGAAAATTCCGATATCCAGAAATACCGTAAACACTCTAATAGAACGCCACTCGTGTCGTCTATTCTGAGCCTATTAATCTCACTTCTTTTGAAAGATATCAAAAAGTTGTCAACTGATAAAATGTTTATTATGAAATCAGCAACATTTTCTTAGACAACCACTTTCTGATATCTCTTACAGAAAATGAGATAAATGGGCTCAAATTTGACATATTGGGTGACATTCTACTAGGGTGTGTACGGTATATTGGAAAGGAAAAAGTTTGGTAAAAGTTTGAAAAGTCCCAAAAAACAGAAGTTTCAGAATTTTTAAAATTCTAAAATCTAGAAATTCTGAAATTTCTAGAAAACTCCAAGAATTTGGAATTTCCATAAATTCCAAAAAATTTGAAAATTCTTGAATTCCTGAAACCCTTACATGAATCCAGACAATTCCAGAAATTCGAGTTTTTTAAAAATTATTGAAAAATTCCAGAAAATTTTCGAAAAGATAAAAACTTCGAAAATTCAAAAATCCTAGAAAACTAGAAATTCAAAACTCATCAAATTGGGATTTTCAAAATTTCATGAATTCAAAAATCGATCATTCAAAAATTATTAGAAAGCTCCAGAAAATCTGAAATTCTCTAAATTTCCATTAATTTTCAATGGAAATACGCCTAATCTTGAAGTTTTCAGAGCATTTTCAAAAATCGATAACCCAAATTTTTTATATATTTTTTTAAAATTTAAATTCTCCAACAACAAAAAAAGCCAATCCAGACAAATGACCAACTGGTCAATTGCAAAAAAAGACCCCAAACCAAATTTAAAGAGACAAAAAAACAATTTTGTAAAAAAAGGAAAAAAGGTGCACTTGTTTAAGGAGAGAGAGAGAGGAAGAAGTGAAGGGCGGGAAGAGAGAAAGACAAGCTTTCCGGGTGGCTGGACTTTTTGGGGAATAAAGGAAAAAAGAAGAAGAAGAAGAAAGAAGAAGTATGTAGATGTGGAGTAGGAGATGTACATGTGGATGTATGTGTGTGTGGCGAAGAATGAAGAGCAATCTGTGGACAGAAACAACGAATCTCTATCCCTGAGACCCCACAGGCTACTCACTTTTTTGGCCCTTTTTTGCAATTTACTAAATTCCTCAAACTTTTTTCTGGGGGATGGTGACTTTTAAAGAGCTTTTGGGGACCATTGCAAACTTTAGAACAGGTGTGGAAGACGGCTAACTGGACGACGCTTTCAGCTTCTGATCGACAAGAGGAGGGGGAAGGGGGTGGGGGTAAAGATGACAAATCAATGAAAAATTTTTACAAAGTATCTGATAGAAGGGCCCAACGTCTTTAAAAAGGCAAAAATCTAGATAGATCTAGATGTTTGGTGGGGGGGGGGGGGTTCCGGGTTTTAGAAAATTCGAAATTCTCTGGAATTCAAAAATCTAGAATTTCTAAATTGCTCAGATTTTTTAAAGATTAAAACCGAAAATCTTAAAGATCGGGTCCCTTAGCTTTGACCTAATTTATCTTGGTTAATGTAAAAGATATCAAAAAGTTGTCAACTAATAAAATGTTTACCATAAAATTTTAAGTATTTTGTTAGTTGATCACTTTTTGATATCTTTTACAGAAAATAAGATAAATCGAGTCAAAGTGAGAGGTGGTCTTCCTTAAGAAAAAATCGGGCCCTCCAAATTCCTTTGACCCAATTTATCTTGGTTACTGTGACAGATATCAAAAATTGGTCAACTGATAAAATGTTTACCATGAAATGTTAAACATTTTGTTAGTTGACCACTTTTTGATAAACTTTTACAGGAAACGACATAAAACTGCAAAAATCCAAAAAGTTCAAGCTTAATCAAAAATAGAAAACTCAAAAAAAATCTAAAAGTTCTAAATTTAAAATTTTTGAATGAATAGTTAGGCTAGCTCCCCTAGTACACAATGGTAATAGCGACGGACAAAGCTCATAGGTAAAAAAAAGAGAGACCACCCAAAAGAGAGAGAGAGTGCTAGAGAAGCAGAGAAAATTATTTGAATATTAACTAAACTAAATTCAAATCGGAACCCCATTTTGAGCAGTCAAGCACATCAGAAACATTCTTACACTTTTACCATATAGAGAGAGTGAGAGAGACGCAGAGAAAACAAGAGGGACCAAAAAGATGTAAAAAAGGGAGGAGGAGAGGGGTCCCCGTTTTATTGCCAATGCATACTGGGAGCGACGCGACTAGTATAGGGAGAGAGAGAGAGAGAGAGAAAAGAGAAAAGCTCTCTCTCTCTCTTTTATATTAGAAAACGTTGGGACGGGACCCCTTTGGGCTCCATCTAGTATAGAGAAACAGACAAGCGCAATTACAGCCTTCGCCCAGCCCAGCAGAGGGTCCTACTTTCTTCTTCTTCTTGTTGCTCAGCCTCCATTTCCCCTTCTTCTCCTTCCCGCCCGTTTTCAATCATGACGATGACAGACAGGCTCTTTTCTTCTTCTTTTTGGGAGGAGGGTCCACTCATCATTGTCTTTTCTGCTGGAGAGTAGACAAATACTACACTACACTACTTAAATTGCTCTTTTTTTGGGAGAGGTGGTTTTGGTTTTGGTTGGAGAGCATGTGCGCTCTGATGGACTAGAATTGCAGGAGCTTGGATTCCTAAGAATCCTAGGAATCTAAAGATCTCAAAATTTCAGAATCCTGGAATTCCGGAATCTACGAATCGCAGGACCTTAGTAATTCCAAACTTCTGAATCTAAGAATCTAAGAATCTAAGAATCTAAGAAACTAAGAAACTAAGAATCTAAGAATCTAAGAATCTAAGAAACTAAGAATCTAAGAATCTAAGAATCTAAGAATCTAAGAATCTAAGAATCTAAGAATCTAAGAATCTAAGAATCTAAGAATCTAAGAATCTAAGAATCTAAGAATCTAAGAATCTAAGAATCTAAGAATCTAAGAATCTAAGAATCTAAGAATCTAAGAATCTAAGAATCTAAGAATCTAAGAATCTAAGAATCTAAGAATCTAAGAATCTAAGAATCTAAGAATCTAAGAATCTAAGAATCTAAGAATCTAAGAATCTAAGAATCTAAGAATCTAAGAATCTAAGAATCTAAGAATCGGTATTTTGGAATATCGAAAATTGATCAAATTCTGGGGATTCCAGATTTTCAGGAATTTTTCATTTATTTTCAATTTTTAGGTTTTTCAGAGACCGGTTTGAATATTCTAGAAAAAATTTGAATACTACAAAAATCTGGAAATCTGAAAATTCCAAATTTCTCAAATTGAAATTCCTTTTAAAAACCTGAAACTCAATAATATGAAAATATTTCATCTAAACATTCTAAGATGCGCA